ACTAGATTAGTACTGGTACTAGTTAGTTGCAGGGGTTCAATGGTTAGCCCTGACCCCAAGTGCATGAGTCAAGTTATAGCGTAAAGTTACCGAAGTCTGGGTGAATACATGAGTGGGACATGTACCCTAGCAAAAATGGCAGCTGAGGCCTGGGTTATACAATATCTATATTGCGCCTTAACGTATGACGATATTGTGGCCAACATTAGTGAGGTAACTGGGTTGGGCGTCCTGCTGGGAAAGCCGGCCTATTGTCTGATCAAAAGGTGTTAGGTGGCGAAATGTTGGGCCTTGAAAAGCCTGGCTCATCTTCAGTACGCGTTACCAAAAAAAAAATAAAAATAAAAAAATTATATTTTGCCAAATCTGAATACAAAATTCGGGTGATACTAGTTTCGCCAAGTATGCAAATTTTTGAATGTCCTATACTTTGATTAGTAAGGCAAAGTAAATCTTTCTAAATATAAATAACATAAATAGCTTATTTTAAATACTTTATAAATCTAGTAGTTAACAAATAAGTTACTTAGCTGTTTTTCGACCACTTTGCATATCACCATTTATTAAATCTTATAAAAGCAGACTCTTAACTTTAAGTCTCATTTACTTTTTTATATGTAGATAGTCCACTGTGAAAGATTAATTGAAACTATAAACTTTATACTATCCGTTTAATAATCAAATTCATGGATTTTTGTAACGATTATTCTAGCAGACTACAATTTATCCGATTTTTGAGGGTTTTTAAACTTCGCTCTATATTGGGTATAGTAATATAATGTATACATCTGGTATGTATCTTGTGCTACAAATATTGTTTAACGTTAAATATAGATGCCTCCAAATTGGCTCAGACTCAAAAATCCTCTAATTCATAAACATGCTTCTAATATAACTATTAATTATCTACACCAGTTCTTATTCTATTACCTTTAGCCTGTCAATTTCTAAATACATCTGCTAATGCATATCATAGTACTCTTCCCACTGCTATATCTCGCCCTCCTGATTTAGTAGTTCCGAATAATTCTTTTTCTCAGAAAATACATAACGAAGATACATATTACAGTTACTTGATTACAAGATCATTTATTACTTCTAATAGACCAGTCCAATTTAATGATCTAAACTTAGAAGTATTAATCTTTTCTGATTTATTTCTCAATACCCAAGGACACTATGAAAACTTCTTAATTTTTAACTTTCAGTAGATAGTTATGGAAAATATATCAAATTACACTTACTTTGCCCTGATTCTCGCTTCCGCCTTCATTGGTATTGGCCTTATTAGTCGTACTTAAATTTGGAAAAGATAAAAAATTTTCAAAATTATCATTGTCTATTATCAACTAGAAATGTTAATCATGAATATCACCTTATAACTGCTAACTTAATAGCTCGAAGCATCTATACTACCCAAAATATTCTAAATAAATTTAAAACTACTATGATCTCCTTGAATCTATGAACTGCTGCCTCTTTCTTTTAACTTTTTTTTTTTTTTTTTTTTTTGGTATTAAGATGACCTCTTTGGCTGGAGAACGTTTTATTAGATAGTTTTGTTTTTCAATTATAGTAAGGGTACATCAAGCCACACATGTACTTTTTGAGTGCCTATTTAAGTAGTCCGCCTGAAGGTTCTACACTATCTGCTATACTTGTACCCCAACTAGGAAAGTACCTATTTAAACCCTCTGACTATAACCTACTTCCAAACCAATGGATACTATCTAACCTGAGGCATAGCTTATTATACACAGGTAGTTCGCTATTGCCCAATCTGATTTTGCATCCACTTTAGGACTTACTAACCCCAATGAGGCTAATCTATCCACGAGGTAAACCTAACAGAGTGGTCCATGTTTCACATGTGTATTCACCTGCCTGTTTAGTAATTTTTTTCCAATTAGTACATATTGTCTGCCACCATTGTGTTCGTATCTCATACCACCTTTTGGGGTGCTGCCGTAATACAATCTATATCTCAAGTATAACCTTCCTAATTAGTCTTCCATTACGTACTTTTGCCCTTGTATTGGTTCACAACAACCCCAGTACCCCAATCCAACCATCTTCTTACCCAGATTCTTAATCGGTCTCTCACTTATTTTCAGCCAGCAACCCAGATAGGTTGGTCTGCCCAGGCTTCAGGTGCCTGAAGGATGCCCTTGCCTTGGTTCATACTTTCGGAGCGTATGACCTTTTCTTCCAGTGCATTTAAACTGGCAGTTTGGCTAGTGTATCCTCCCACTAAAGAACCTGGTCATTCAATTCTCTAATCTCGGCCCCAGTTCGAATTTAGCTGTCATGTAGTACCATCGAAGATCACTGCTACCTCCAAACTCAGGTCTTCCCAAATAGGCTTTTTGTATAGTAATAAACAGTTCCCCAGATTTACACGATCATGGACTTATCAAGTGTTTGCACTACCCGAAACTGGTTTGCATTCTTTTGTAGTTCCTAGGGTTCTCCCCAGTTGTACAAATGCCAGCGGATTTCCCAAGATCACTCCCTGGTGCAACTCGAGTTACAGATCCTCAATTCAAGATCCAACTATCTTATACAGGTTACCGTAACACAGGCCTATTTTTCAAAATCGTCATCTGTGGGATTCAAACTCTAGACCTGCCACTTGGAGAGGGTGACGACTAGACAACTTCACTAAGCCGCCACACCTCATCCTTTCTTTTAATGCAAACAATACCAAGTTAATATTATAATAAATTCATATGGTCTACTCTAGCTTTTTTATACTATGACAATGGCTGAAAATAAGTGGCCACATTTGCGCGAAATATTATACTAAATGGACAACAGAGACACGATGCCCTCTAACTATCTACATCAGCGAAATATATTAACATAAACTTACACAAGTTATTACACCCTGAAATATTGCACAATAATTACGGTCTGGGCATAATATTGCGCAAAAAATTGCGAAATATTGTGCAATAAATAGCGTAATATTACGAAATATATTATGCAAAATTACGAAACTTAAAGCACAATATTACGCTACTTGTAGCACAATATTTCGAATTATATCGAAACAATTCGAAATAGATAAAAATGCATCAAAACAGCAAAATATTTATATTCTAATAGATAACTACTTATGCGTAAGAATTGCTAATCTATTTGAATTTATTAAATACTATTCGATTCATTTCGGGGTATTTCGAAATATTTTGAAATTAATTAAATAAAACTACATATAATAGGAAATATATTTAAATGCAATAATTTAAAAATAAGAATAATAGGAAATATATTTAAACGCAATAATTATACGATTAATTTGATTTTTTCGAATTATTTCGAAAAAATGCCAAATTTATAGCATTTATGTAAATAAACTGAATAAAAATTTTATAACTTAAATATATTTTAGAAAATTTCTTAATTTACACCAGGTATATATACACACATAGTAATTTTTGATTTACAAATTTGTTTAATATATAAATTATAAACGAAAAATTAGTATAGCTTAAAGTTAGGGTGAGGGTAGCTTTAGGGTTAGATGAGGTTATAGTTTATACTAAAAGTTTACAAGGAATATTTTTTCCAAAAGCTATTATATAATCAGGATTTTTGATTTTGAAATATCCATATATGTGTGTACATACACCTGGTGTACAAATATAACATTTTTAAATATTGTAATAAAAAAAAAAAAATTAATTTAACTCAAAAACTATATATATAGTTGTTTATATTTCACTAAAAAATTTTACTAAATAAATTTATAATAGTGACCAGTGTAGTAAATTTTTATAATTCTAGCTTCTATTATAAAAATATGTTTATCGAAACTACCAATAATCAAGAAATATAATAAATTGTACACGAACACAAGACACCAATAAGACGGTAATTAAGAATAATAATTCATTACTTTTCGGCGAGAGTGATGTCTCGGCTGTAGGGATGGTAAAGTCCAGTCCTGGTCTCATAAACTGTAAGTTTTACTTATGGACCATGTTTCTTATAAAACCAGTTTTAGGACTTTAGTTAGAACCTAGGTCCGCTATATGTTGTAAAAGGGGTGACTAGTACTCGCACAACAAAAATCAAAGGCTACTCGTGGAAGATTTGGTCCGATCTTACTGCCACTAGAATCCCGGAGTTTATCATTAGATGGTCTTTATTATTATAACACCACTTGTTTTCAGATACATGAAATCGATGGTTATTTATACATTACAGAGAGCTTTGAGGCTTTGCTACTACGATTAGAATTTCTAAGCAATATGACTATTTAGAGTATCGGGTGGGACTATGTCTTTAGTTCCCACCATAGAGGCACCTTACTATTGTTCTTCATCTCAAGCCAAACCCGAATTGGCATTTATTAAATGCCTTCGCTTTTTCTATCAATGCGCCGAATCTTATGGCTTAGATCACGTTTTTTTTTGCTGCGGCTTGTCCACATTACCCCTTCACAATGTAATAATATTATGTGAACTATATACATTAAATAAGTGATTATGATCTTAAACTATGCATTTAAAACTTTATTGAAATTACACTATATATATATATTGATTAGAATTATGCAATAGTAGAAATTTGCAGTTGAAATGAATTTTATTATTTTTAATAAATTAATTTCATTTTAAACTATATATTATAAATTTGTATATTAGGACTTTTTAAAGACTTAAGGACCCTAGGTTCTTAAATTTGGACTTGGTCTTTAAAGACCAGCAGGTCCTAAAGTCCCGGACTTAAAGACTTTACCAACCCTACTCGGCTGCCTTTTCATGTTGAATTCTTTGCCTATAATAAGAATGGAACTCATTCCAAGGCAGTAGAAAACTGAAACGAGGGTCATCTATATGTTTTTCACGAACTTTGGCTTCAAGAGATTCACCACTCTTGGAAACATATGTAGCCATCTTATCAATTATAATTTTGAGATCTGGTGGTGGTACACTAATAATTATATCAATAAATAAATTAATAAAAAGTAATGGACCAAATGAATGACAGACGTATACATACATAACAGGTCCAATAGGCTGAGAATGAGGTTTCGAAGACTTAACGGTGTTAGAGTCCTCAGCATTAACACCAGAGGAATTTAGCTCGATAGTTGCACCTTTGGAATCAGTAGATTTCAAATAATCATTATCGTTATTGCTATCTTTGCGTGATTTTAAGTTATCCCCTTTATATTGTCTGACAATATTTTTTCCAATATTTCTATAGGGTCTATTGCCAGGCTTATTGTTATCTTCCTTGTCACTATCTTCATATGAAAAAAGACCGGTTTGTAACAACAAACGTACATGTTTGTAGTAAGGATATAATGGATCATCTTTGTTCAAAAAGGAGAACTTTGGATTATTGGCTTGTTTAGCCTGAATGACGATTTCCATCTGGCTATCGGTGCTAGAATTTAAAAATTTAGCAGTACGTTCGATAATCTCATCGACACGATCATCAGATGGCTAAGCATAATAAATAAATAAAATAGATACAAACCGAGAATATTAATTAAATTAATAATTTACAAATTTAAGAGAAATTAAAAATTAATCATACCGTTGTCATTCCTTTGGGTACAGAATACTTTGGAGCATAATTAGACTTTATGTTCTTAGTATCATCCTCCTCTTCTATAAGGTTAGCATTATCAATCAGAAAGGTTTATGATAAAAAAGTTTTTTTCTTTTTTTTAATATCAAACCAACCATTCACTTTAAATTCTTGAAAATAGTTATAATCATATTCTTTGCTTTCGGCATGCATCCTTTTTCGTTTTCTTTTCTCTTCTATAAATAAAACAAATATATAAAATAAGTACATACACATATATATACGGATATATATACATATATAAAGTAGAAGTTTAATCAATGCCTATATAATCTTCTCTTTCTTCTTCGGACATATCAAAGATATCTTCTGCTTCGGAATCCAAGTCGATCCATCGTTCTATATCACAAAGTTTTTCTTGTTCGATTTCCTCGGCAGTCCGTGTCATGGTGTAAGGAATTTTTCTAAAGCGGTCACGATCATCAAGCAAATTTCTTACATCATATCTAAGAACGTGACGCGTTTTTAAGAGAAATAATAAATTAGCCACAGAGCAAATAATATTTTTTCTAGCCTCGTTAGATAAACGAACTAGCTTCCGATTTCCTCGTGTGCTTATGTACCATATTTACTATCAGATAAATCATAGCAATCAATCTATTGCATACTTAGATTTATCGTTTAATCAGCATTTGAGCGAAAAATATACCTTCAACTCTAAAAAAAGTTAGTGTATTTTGAGTGCATAATGCATCTTGAATATAAATAAACAAGTTTTCGACACACGCCAACTTGGCCAAAGGGGGGGATTGAAGCGGATGTCGGTAACTCGTTTAATTTCTTTTTTTTTTTTTACTTTATATACTATTTTTAAAAAAACGTGGCTCACCTATCAAGTAAGATTTTATTTTCGGATTCACCCCTCCAAGGGATTAATAACTCTCCAGCATTAACTTTTTTTGCCATTCCATCGTCTCGGAAAGTTTTTGCTTCATAACCGAAAACAAGATCGTCAAAATCCTGGGAGGTTGTTCGCTGTTGTTTGCGCGGAGGTTTTTGCTGACGACGGGGTTTATAACGAGATAACGAGGTGGAGTCAGCCCACGAGATTTCTTCAGATTGATCCTCAGAAGGCTCTTGTAAGAGAGTTTCGCTAAAGAACATCATTGACAGTATGTGAAACAATGAAAAAAAAGATCAACATAACTTTAAATAGTTTATGAATAAAGTTTATCACGTGTTACCTAATTGATTACTTTTAAATCAATTTTCTGATGGTATAACAGGTTTCTTCCAAAACAATTTAACGTTAAAGAGTGAAATAAATACGTATACGTAGTACTGTATTTCCTTGGAAATTGCAAGATTGAAATTAAAAAGTCTGGACAAAATATCAGTCTTTGCTCGATAATATTCTGATACGTGTGCAAATAATCTCGGTAATTTCAATACAGGCTTTTGTCAATATCTAGGAAAAGAAATTGTCGCGGCTGAAGCTGGAATGGCTGAAGCTGGAAATTAGAGACCTCGATTTAAAAATATAAACCCTATCAAAATCCACTTATACTCTTTTATTATAAAAACTAACCCTAAACCATAACCTAACTATATATTAAGGAAAGCTAAAAAAAATGCACCCCAAAAAAATTTCATATTATTAAAATATGTGATGCTTATTGATCGAATTTGTTCAAATATGAGTACAGGAATATATTAGGTGTAATTATTGGTGGAAATAGCCATTATTATTCCGGAGCGAAGCGGAGGATACGTTTGATTGACAGTATATATCACGTAAATAATTCTTATTATTACTTTACTGTTCCATCGAATTTTATCTGATAACTTATATCTTAGCTCCAGATACATAATGTTGTGCCTATTTGTTTTACGTATTGTTATTGTATTCACGTACTGTACTATGCCAGATACAAGATGAGATACGTTTCGTGTTAATCACGTGTACTATTGTCGATCGAGCATACAATATATAAAAACCAAGAAAAAAATTTTTACACTTTCCGATTATTGAATTAGACATTTTTGTTCGCCGGTTTTGTTTTGATTTTCATCAGCATATTAAAGCACATATTAAACAAAGCCTTTTAGATTGATTTATTAAAGTGTATTACCTCAAAAAACCTTAGATAATTATATAAAGTAAAAAGGTATAAGTATTGCGATTTATTATTTTAACCCAATAACCAAAGTTATATATTTATAGAGAAATTTTCTTTTCAAACCAACGGACAACGATATATTATAGTACCTAGATCTATTCTTAATTCTTGTTGAAATGACGACGCCTGAAGTTTTTTCAATCAATTTGGTACATGATCTCGATCTTCTTGATTTACGTTTACGCAGAGACATTATTTAACAAGAATCTCTTTTAGACAGTTGATAAATCAGTAGTTCCTGATGTCTTGCGCGGTAAATTGATAAGGATTTATATGCTCGATTTCGAATACACCCATGTGTTAAGTTTATTTTAATCGGAGAATGTCAGAAGATCGAATATCATTTAATAAAAGTTAATAATAATGAGCATGAGTGTGTTCCCTAGCTGTGTCCTTTATACGTTCAATCCATTCTTATTATTTGTCTTTAAATATACTAGCAATATTACATACAATACTATTTTATCGAATTTTTGGAAATATAAAACCGAGAGAAGTAGACTTGTTGGATATCACTTACGTATGTGGCACAACTTTTATATTATTCCGCTGCTTAATTTATATATGATCTTACTTTTTTCTTCTGTTATTTAAAGTCTGCAATAGATGATCCCGAAATTGAGAAGGTGGTGGATGAAAAGGTTGAACAATTTATACGTAACCTTGAAACTCATGGAAATCAAAAGGGACAGGTTGTTAAAAAAGTTTTGAAAAATTTAATACATTATTTGTGGTTTTGTTCGATTGTAAATTCCCGATTCTTTTTATAATGATTCAGATCTCCGTAACGTTCCATGAAAAACGGACCACAAGGAATGCTTGGTTCAGTAGATCTGAAGAAGATATTTGTTGGGAACAATGGGCTGTTACCATAACAACGGTGATATGTCATACAGAGCGCGGTAAATTTCTTGTCATTGCCATATTTTGAATTAATTTCAGGTTTTATATTTATCAACGATCTTTTTTCTTTTTCCAGATAAATTAAGGATCCGTAAGGACATGGACAGGCAACTTTCAACATGTCTTTTTAACATTATTCGATATGTTAATGATAAAAAAGATCACATTCCACCAATCACTACTCTTGAAGCGAACCCATTTCCTTATCAGGTGAAATATTCTCTTTATATATATTTTAATGTTTCATAATTTATACATTTACTAACTTTTAATTATTGTGTAAGATCGCTATTCCACCAACGAATGATTCTTGGGGGTCAATGTTAAGAAAAATACTAACTGATCCTTCGCAACCTGTATGAGCATTTTTATATTTTAATTGATTAAACTGATTATGAGAACTTAATGGTTTAAATTTTTATAATTATTAATTTTAATGGGTTGGGGAACGAAATTTCTTGGAAACCTGTCACACATATATAATAGAATTATCCGGTGCATAGCCGGGGATGTTCAATTTCTATACAAAAATTCTGAGTTTAATGCATTTATAGTATGACAGGGCCCCGAATATTGGAATTTCCGACACTTTTCTTGAATCTTGATTGGCTAAAATTTAGCCAATCAGATTTGTAGAATTTGTCAAAATTTTAGTTAATTTTCATATATACCTTTGTTAATTATTCGGGGTCCCAATACTGGTCCTCTATATGACTATTTAGTGTTCCGCAGAACCGAACCGGAGACCCGGAACCGAACCCCGGTTCGGGTCCGGGTCCATGATTTTTAGAAAAACCCGGTTCCGGATCTCTAGTTAAACCCGAACCGAAACCAAATGGCGCACGCTGATTGGCTGCATTCCGGCGGTTCCAAGTTTTTTTCGGTTCCGGGTCTCATTTTGGACCCGACCCGATTTTTCGGTTCGGGTCCGGGTCCTTAAAAGACCCGCCCGGAACCGGTCCGTGCGGAACACTATGACTATTAATGAATTTACTCTATTAAATTTGCCAATTGGATTGGTCAAGTCGTTGATCGACCAAAAATATGCGGTTATTGTCCAGGGATTTCCAATCTGGTCAAATAAATAACTAGTTTATCCCATGGGTACGACGTAACAACCCGTGCAACACGTCATTTAATAAACTTCAGGCAAACGGA